TAGGTCAAGATAGGAGGCACTGTAATCAACTTTTCATGGGAACAGTCAGTAGAGGTATCTTGGGAAGGCTGCCGAATGAGCATACATAGGAATGCCTAATGTGTAGTAACGTTCACTGTGATTACTTAACATACAGCTATCAATTAAGTCTTATAAAAGAACACATTTGGGCACTGGCTTGAAGTAAACATATTTTTAAATGAAACAAAAAAAAAACAGTCAAAAATGAATACCAAATCATCATGTGCCATGATGGTAAGAACAGGCTGTCATGTTTTGCCACATCACATGATCACCAGAATCATGGATCAGACCAACGTTCTTGTTTCACCACCTCCATATGGCCCTAGCCATCCAGGTATTTATCTCACTGCCTCTCCAACAGCCTTGCCAGCTGTGACTAAATGCCCGAGTCCACTCCTTCTCAAAATATGAGGACAAACAATGACTGTCTATGTCTCATTGTTCTATGTTTAAAACTTTCATGTGTCTAGATAAGGACTGGTTCATCTGTTTGTCTATCTCCCCATGATATTATTAGCATTCTTCTCAAAACCCACAGAACATATACCAAGTAAACTACTCAACAACAATGCTAACTGAACTGATTAAACCACCTGAATCTGCAGCAAGCAAACAGCTAAACAAGTGTGACCCTACTACTGATCATAATGTGAAAGTTATACAAGTTTGGAGTTAGCATTAGGAAACAAAATGAGCTTGATCAGATTGTGTGAACTGTAACAGAAAATGCCATGTTCTAAACTGAACGTTGTATAGAATTAGTCGAATGTTGTATAGAATTAGTCAAGGCGTGGTCTTAAATCGCATACAAGACTACAAACTGATTTAAGTGTTAAAGGTATTTTGTGAAAACACTGTAGACAGCTTGCATTGAAATGATGCTGCCATTTATCTGCTGTCTCCTTACATTCAAACGATATAGAGATAATACAGAAATACAGAGATAAATTTCCCTGTCACAATCTGAGACTATCTGTAACCAGACTGTTGATAGCATCATTTGTCTGAGACAATCTGTAACTAGACTGTTGATTGTATCATTTGTCTCAGACTATCTGTAACTAGACTGTTGATTGTATCATTTGTCTGAGACTATCTGTAACCAGACTGTTGATAGCATCATTTGTCTGAGACAATCTGTAACTAGACTGTTGATAGCATCATTTGTCTGAGACAATCTGTAACCAGACTGTTGATTGTATCATTTGTCTCAGACTATCTGTAACCAGACTGTTGATTGTATCATTTGTCTGAGACTATCTGTAACCAGACTGTTGATAGCATCATTTGTCTGAGACAATCTGTAACCAGACTGTTGATTGTATCATTTGTATGAGACTATCTGTAACCAGACTGTTGATTGTATCATTTGTCTGAGACTATCTGTAACCAGACTGTTGATTGTATCATTTGTCTGAGACTATCTGTAACTAGACTGTTGATTGTATCATTTGTCTGAGACTATCTATAACCAGACTGTTGATTGTATCATTTGTCTGAGACTATCTGTAACCAGACTGTTGATTGTATCATTTGTCTGAGACTATATGTAACTAGACTGTTGATTGTATCATTTGTCTGAGACTATCTGTAACTAGACTGTTGATTGTATCATTTGTCTGAGACTGTAACTAGACTGTTGATTGTATCATTTATCTGAAACTATCTGTATCTAGACTGTTGATTGTATCATTTATCTGAGACTATCTGTAACTAGACTGTTGATTGTATCATTTATCTGAAACTATCTGTAACTAGACTGTTGATTGTATCATTTGTCTGAGACTATCTGTAACTAGACTGTTGATTGTATCATTTATCTGAAACTATCTGTAACTAGACTGTTGATTGTATCATTTATCTGAAACTAATTTGGAATGAAATATTAATGTGCGTGTGTATACCACACAATGTGTAGACAGAAGTAATGATAACAGACTAGTCTACAATCTGAAAATAATTGCACAATAAATTAAAAAAAACTGTGTAGAAGTATGAATTTACAATAATGTGTCTGAAACTGTGCAAACTGTATAAGTTTCATTAAAAAAATTTACATGTAGTCTGAAACATAAGTTAAATAATAATAATAATAATAATATTAATAATAATAATGTGCCTGAAACTATCTGTAGACTGAGATATTCATAAAATAATGTGTCTGAGCTATCTGCAAACTGAAATATAACTTAAATAATGTACCCGATACTACCTGTGCAGAGGAATATTAATAATAATAATGTTACTGGATACTGCAACATAAGCAATGTGACTAAGACTATAAGTAGACTGAAATAATTTCATAATATATCAAAGTATGTTCAGTTTTCATATGAGTTTATTCGCATCATCACAGCCTAGAACTAACTGTAGATAGAAAGAATCATTATATAATATATTTCTGAAACTCTTGACTAGGGAAAATGTAAAGGAAAAAAGTCATAGTATTAAATGTTATTGACTCAATGTAGCTGAATATTTGAGTCTATCTGCAGAATTAAATGTTCATTATATCATACTATATAAAATGAAATAGTTATTTTATGTCATACTATCTGTATAATGAGATAATTACTGAATATGTTGGCTGAAACAGTGGCACACTGACTCGTAAAATAACATTTTAACAATGCAGTGTATGTCTAACCAGCCGGCGTCTGTGGCCGGCTTCTGTTTGCAAATGTGCTTCATAATGTCGGGATGCTGGGTGCGATCCCAGCTGCAGAAGCAAAACCCCGGAGAAGTACCTCTAGTCCAAGTTGAGTAGGTTAAAACAATGTGTTAGTGTATAAATATGAAGAAAACCAAAAGGGGGTTGGGGATGGGTTACTGTTAGGAATGTCCATACCAAAATACAAAAGAAGAAAGATGATCAAATGAAAGTAAGGTTAAATAAAAACATCTATTTAAACAGAGGATGCATCTGCATATAAGGCTCTTTTAACTCATTTAATTAGTCCTTCATTATAATACAAATCACACTGCAGCCTCACAATTCACTACTCATTCCCTGTAATACACATCCCCCACACCAACCTTGTATTTCCTTAATTATTCCATCACTGGTATACACGTCACTCACACTAACCTTATACTTTCCCTAATTATTCCATCTGTATAATACTCATCTCCCACGGTAACTGTAAACTTTCCCTAATTATTCCATCACTGTAATACAGATCCCTCACACTAACCTTATATTTTCCTAATTATTACATCTCTGTAACCCACATCCCTCCCACAAACTTTACATTTCCCTAATTATTCCATCACTGTTATACACATCCCTCACAGTGACCTTACATCTCTTTCCATTTGTAATTTGTATACTTTACACCAAAAAATATTCTTCATATATTCCTCCACAGTATGTCACATACATACACTTGGTTGCTACACATATCTAACTAGCCCAACACTATGAGACACATCCTTCACAGCAGCTCCCACTGCTGCATCATCAAACTGGCCATGAACTGCTGACCCTTTCACAGGCACAGGTTTACAGGCAATGCATTGTGTACAACAGATGCACAGTATAAAAAACATGGATCTACATGAAGAATTCACACAACAAAATGTAACATTTAAACCTCAACTTCCAGTAAGTGAAACATTAAGATTATCACTGGATTAATTGCTGGGTGAGTTGAATGTCATGGATGAATCATGTTTGAAAAAAAAATGGCTGAATGTGTTTGTCATGGATGAATAATGATTATTTTGATGACTGGATTGTCTTTATACAAATGGATTCATCCTCATTTTATTAAACGATAGTGTCTAGTGTCTTTATATAGATGACAGTATGTTTCAATTGAATGAATGAAAGTGTCAACACCTGTCTAATGTCTGGTTTGTCAGCATGTCTATGATAGTATGGATCATGCTCATGGTAATGAAATGTCTTGATCATAATAATGAAAGTATGTGTTCAATCATCTTTTTACAAGATCTGTTACCCCAAAAAATATCCAACTTATAGTCTTTAGAACGAAATTATTCACTTGAAAGTCTGACACTCTAATCCACACTCAAATTAGCCTCTTCAGAGTTGCCCATAATTTTCCAGCTGTTCCTTCACTGCTGGAAGAAATTAAGTTTTATTTAGTAATAAAGTATGGCTTACACAAAATGTTCCATGAAATGTTTACTCATTAACTCAAATTCCACTGTGCAGGGAAGATCCTTAGAACTGCAAGGAACAAAGCAGAGTAGAGAGCCAGACAAACCACAGAAATGTGTGACCACGAAAGTCTGAAAAAGACATGAAAAATGGGCTGGTGTCTTGTCATGGTCTGCCAAGTTCCTGCTGCATTGGGCACAGCATCATGAATCTGACAGATGACCTTCATACAGCCTCTTTGGCAGTCAATTTTTTGGCCATGCAGTGGGTACTGATAATGCACCACACCATAGGAGTAAAAGAAAACTATCAACAAGCCTTTTGTGCTGCACACACACCTGGCATGTTTTCTTTGGCATCATCACCAAACAGCCTGTTGAAACTTCTGAACCAACCTGGGAAGTGCCGTGCTTTTTTAGAAAAATGTGATGCAACCTCTCTACTCCAGTCATTCCATTCGTAAACAGAAATCTTATAGATCTTCATTACAATAACTCAACTGCACAATGAACTGTCTGTGAATGACACCTGTACATGAAGGTCCCCTATTCTGTTCTCACTGAAAAACATTTTGCATGCTTGATTTTGTCTCCATAAGGAAAAACTGGTTGGATATTTTTTTAACAGACCTTGTATGAGAGAATCAAACATATGGTTTTTGTTTTTGTTTTTAGATTCATGACAGTAAGAATGAATCATCTATCTCCCTTACATTAGTAACAAAATGGCATAATTATATGGCTGTATGATATTTACATAATTGACAGTTATGCTGGCTAGTATGAACAGGGGAAAAAGTTAAAAACTACAACTATATTGCATATGTTACAGCCTACAGGCACAGCTCAAATTAGAATACTTCTCCTCCTGAGCCACTCTGCTGAGACTGGATAATGATTTCTGCCCTCCTACGCTGGCTTTTTCTCAGCGCGTCTGCTCTACGATATGGTTCGTTCTTCAAATCTGCCAAAGAATGTGCCAAATAAAATGTGAGCAATTTAGGTAATGTGTAAAGTAGCAGGTACTGTAATTGCAGCATAAAGTCAAAAATACATTTTAAAAATAGAATTATCTAGACAGCATACAGCTGTGATCATAAGTACAACATACAAAAACTTGACTTTTGAGTGCACATCCAACTGACAGATCTGGCTTATTTGTATGTAGACCTGTTGGTTCTTGACCTATTAGGTCGATACACTCTGACTTCAAAAGAAATACTTATGTCATCTTTCACAACATGCTTGATAGGGGAACAGTGGGCTCCCCCCCCCCTCCCTCCCCCTCCCCCAACCAATGCAGTCCTAAAACCCAAACATGAAAAACTGAAAAATTGGAGGCTGTAAATACTTTGGTTTCTGAGAACATCACAAAATACTATGGACCAGGAACCACAAACAAGAGGAATGAATATGCTCTACACAAGTGCTAGACCTTGTGCTCTAGTGTTTTGTCTGAAGTGACTGGTGTATAAAAGATGTGAATGATCAACTATTATTGCTTGACAGCAGCGAGCCTGACATACAGTTCAGTGCACTTGCCAGCCAGTGGTCCGGGTTTAAATCCTTAGCAGAGCAGGATTTTTTTTTCCCCACCAGTAAACAGCATTAAACGTCTACAGTTAAGAACCAGCAAATAAATCAAGGACAAAACTTTGAGGCTATGCATATTCCATGCGGCAACACATGGATGTGAGTTGTGAACTATCTCTCAGTCATTAAAGAAGAAAACAGGGGCGTTTGAACTGAAATACAATAGAAAGACCCTCAGAATACCAGGGACTAAGAAGAAAAGAAATACTGACATTTTAAATGATCTGAACATCAAGGAAGATTGGCTAGAAGACAGCATCTAGTCTCAGAAAGTAAAATATTTTGGCCATATCAAGCCCCAGGAAAATATAGCAGAGGATGTGGTGCCAGGAAAGAGGAGCAGGGACTGACAAGATGAAAATGGGCACAGGATATATGTGACTCTTGGGTAGCAAAGTGCATGAGGCAGAAGATCTCCTAAGAGGCTGTGTGTCTTTCAGGCAGGCTGTGCTGAGAGCGACCTTTTGCAAAGGACCTGCTACACACTAGGAGTCATTAAAAAAATTGTATCACTAAATTTTCAAAATTTAAGAACTAGATGAGATCAGGGTTAGGTTGGTAATGGTTCCTCCACAGGGCTTAGGTACTTCATTATCAAAGGGAACAGCAGTGATAGATATAAACTAGTTATAACACTGACAAATATTTATGGACTGCAGTTAATGACTGTCAAATTAGCAACAAATGAGATTACAGTGTACACAGCCATCTTCTCACTACTGTAGTTCTTCTTCTTCATGTGTACTGGCTGTAAACTCTAGCAGAAAGTTCTGGTTGTTCGCCTATCTCTGGACTTGTTCTGAACCTGCAGAAAGTTCTGGTTGTTCGCCTATCTCTGGACTTGTTCTGAACCTGAGTGTTGCTTGCACATCAATTTTACAGACCTGACTTATATGTATGCAGACTGATGGTTCCTTGCCTCTCAAACAGATGCACTCCGACTTGGAAGGAAGCTCCCCAATTAGTTGACTTCTGCGACAGGCATGTTAGGGAAGCAGTGGGTCTATTCTTGTTTTCCCCAGTGGGGTCCTGGAACCCACACAGGGAAGTCCTGGAACCCACACAGGGAAGTCCTGGAACCCACACAGGGAAGTACTGGAACCCACACAGGGAAGTCCTGGAACCCACACAGGGAAGTCCTGGAACCCACACAGGGAAGTACTGGAACCCACCTGGAACCCACACAGGGAAGTCCTGGAACCCACACAGGGAAGTCCTGGAACCCACACAGGGAAGTCCTGGAACCCACACAGGGAAGTCCTGGAACCCACACAGGGAAGTCCTGGAACCCACACAGGGAAGTACTGGAACCCACACAGGGAAGTACTGGAACCCACACAGGGAAGTACTGGAACCCACACAGGGAAGTCCTGGAACCCACACAGGGAAGTCCTGGAACCCACACAGGGAAGTCCTGGAACCCACAAAGGGAAGTACTGGAACCCACACAGGGAAGTCCTGGAACCCACACAGGGAAGTCCTGGAACCCACACAGGGAAGTCCTGGAACCCACACAGGGAAGTCCTGGAACCCACACAGGGAAGTCCTGGAACCCACACAGGGAAGTACTGGAACCCACACAGGGAAGTACTGGAACCCACACAGGGAAGTCCTGGAACCCACAAAGGGAAGTACTGGAACCCACACAGGGAAGTACTGGAACCCACACAGGGAAGTACTGGAACCCACACAGGGAAGTACTGGAACCCACACAGGGAAGTACTACAGCAATTCATTTTCTTTCCAGAAAAAAAACTCTCTACTCCATAATGCAGGTGTAATAAAATGTTGGCAAATAATCAGCTTACCTAAGGAAGTCCTGGAACCCACACAGCTAAACCTATTTGGAAGTCACAGACTGCACTAGGAACCACATTCACACAGGACTATAAAGTAAAGTATTCACTGAGTACTGGAACCCACACTAGACTAAAGTATTCACTGACTGCACTAGACTAAAGTATTCACTGACTACACTTTAGAATTCACTGACTGCACTAGACTAAAGTATTCACTAAGCACTAAAAAAACTCGGAGACTACTCCATAGAATGCAGGTGTAGATAAAATGTATTTACTGACTGCACTAGACTAAAAAATAATAAAGTATTCACTTACTGCACTACCTCAAGAGAATGTCGCACTTCACTGAGCGCTAAAGTATTCACTGACTACTAAATATCACTGACTACACTAGACTGTATTCAGCAGTCGTCTCTTCTCCTTGACATCACTGACTGCACTGAGACTAAAGTATTCACTGACTGCACTAGACTAAAGTATTCACTGACTGCACTGAGACTAAAGTATTCACTGACTGCACTGAGACTAAAGTATTCACTGACTGCACTAGACTAAAGTATTCACTGACTACACTAGACTTAAGTATTCACTTTCTGCACTAAAGTATTCACTGACTGCACTGAGACTAAAGTATTCACTTTCTGCACTAGACTAAAGTATTCACTGACTGCACTGAGACTAAAGTATTCACTGACTGCACTGAGACTAAAGTATTCACTGACTGCACTCTAAAGTTTGCTAAACCCATTTGATGGACCTAAAATGTAGAAAAAATTCACAGACTGCACTATACTAAAGTATTCACTAACTGCACTAGACTAAAGTATTCACTTTCTGCACTAAAGTATTCACTGACTGCACTAGACTAAAGTATTTACTGACTGCACTAGACTAAAGTATTCACTGACTGCACTAGACTAAAGTATTTACTGACTGCACTAGACTAAAGTATTTACTGACTGCACTAGACTAAAGTATTCACTGACTGCACTAAAGTGTTCACTGACTGCACTAGACTAAAGTATTTACTGACTGCACTAGCCTAAAGTATTCACTGAATGCACTGTGACTATAATATTCACTCATGCACTGTGACTAGAATACTGATGGTTTCATAAAGACCCAAATATTCATGGCTTAATACGTACTAAAATATTAAATAACTTAACAAACCTGAGTCATTTTCTTGTCCTTCTTTTTGATTGGTTGTACCTCAGGTTCCATCAAACCATGCTCCAGCTTCCTCCTCCTTTCATTGTCCAACAAGGCTTGCTGAAATAAACATGTCAGGAAACCTAATTAACGACCAGTCACCTCAAAACAGGCAACACAACCACAAATATCACAAAATATTCTTGCTTGTAGGTTTATGCTAGAACCTTTTTGTATCTTTGTTCTCCCCCTTTTTTTTCAAATGTAGTTTCCTGTCTGGGTTCCACGGCCCCATTTTTGGGAGAGAGGAAACAAAAAATTAACAGACCTGCAACTCCCCTAACATGTCATAAAAGACACTAATTAGGGGTGTTTCCTTTAAGACTAGACATCATCTGCTTGAGAGGCAAAGAACCAACAGTCTGCACACAAATAAGCCAGATCTGTAAAATTGAAAAGGTCCTGGATCAAGACAAAAGTCCAGAAATGGACAAATAACCACAACTTTCTGCCGGTGAGCGCGACGAAGAAGAAGAAAACATGTAGAGTTGAGGTGAGCTGAGTCAAGAAACAACATCTGAGCACTCAAGACATTCCTTCCTCATCTTCAGTAGCCAACGATGAGTTCCAATTCTGATGCTACCAGCAGGACTTTATATGTCCACCTTGCCTCTCAGTGTTGGCCAGATCCTGTGGTCACTTCTCACCACACTATTCCATTTTTTTAATACTGAGAAGATCACTGGTTGTGACGAATCTAATTATAGAGAAGTTGTACCTATGATGAACTGATTCAATAGGAAATAGGAATTTTTTTAACTAGTTCTGCTATGCTTTTCAATTCCCTCTCTGCCGGGAGCCAAGGTAGCACAGTTGTTAGCACAGCTGCTTGCTGGCCTTGTGATCACAGGTTCAAATCTATAGTGAGGCACTTATTTAAACTGATGCAGGCTGTCAGGGGATCAGTCTAAACATTGGTACCTCCAAATGTTCTGGGAAGTAAAGCCACAGTTAAATCTGAGGGGCTGACTTCGTTGCACTGGGTTTTTATCCCATATGGCTCAGTTTCTCTCCATAGAATGGCTAGCCACCCATTGAGAGTGTCACACAAAGCATGAACTCCCTAGCTCTAGCATTGACCCCAACTGATCCCACAAAGCAGGGCTATTCAACTAAGCTTACTTGTGGAATTTCTTTGTTAATGGGGATTGTCGTGGCCCGAGCCTCAGCTATAGCAAGACCATTAACACAAAACACATGGCATTGATAAGCGGACCACTTGCTAGGACTCCGCTGGCCTGATGTGGCCAGTCGGCCAGCTGACTAGCCCTGCCATAAAGATTTCACTCATAAACCGAACGACACAGCCATGAAACGAATCCAGGATCTTGAGAGAGTGAGGCAAACAGCTTGACCCCTTCACCGTGAAGACCACCGATCTAGAAAGCAAAGGTGGCCAATGGATATTAATCCCAATCCTAACAAGTATTAAATGAATGGCTTGTTCAAACATGGCTGGAGCTTTTACCAGTTAGTCCATCTTCAGAAATTAGTGTGTAGTTAGTCAGCAAGTCTGGAATTTTTTTATTTTTTTTAATGGCTGAGCGCTACTACTCCTTGGGGCAGACTGATCTGCTCAAAAAGAAAGAAACTGTTCCTGCGGTGAGGTGTAGTCGTCATTAAGAGATCACAAGTTAGATTCCTGGCATCGTAACTACAGCTTTCAATTGTTATCCTGTCTACTGTGTGATTTTTTTTTCTACTTCATTCTAGGTGCTGAAAAATAATTGCCCATTTTGTGTGTGTTTTTTTTTTTGTTTTTTGTGTGTGCGTGCAAACTGATCTGCTCAAAAAGTGAGTCACTGGTGCCAGGTGAAAAATCAGCATCAGAACAAATCATTATCAGCATGCCAGTTTGACTATGTTGAAAACCTTTTCAAACAATAGTAACATGCAGCACGTCACTGACAATAAAAATAATGATTCTGATGCTACTTGCAAATGTGTAAGCATGAAAATAAGCAACATCTTATTTTACAAACCTTAAAACTATTCACAAATCTGACAATCTGTGAGAAAAACTGGGCAGGTGAAATGCTCCTAGGGTTTTCTCCATAGAACTCAACCACTTTCTTGTAGGAATCCTGAAGTCAGAAATTTGCTTAGTGAAAAAAACAAGTGGTACTAAACTGCATGGGTTTGTTGATAAAGAAGCATTTTAATGTTGTCTAGGATAATTTTCTTCCTGTTTACTCTGTCTTTACTGCTCTGGGTATAAAGGGAGATGCTAGGTTCTGGTTGCTGCTTTTCTGGCCACCTCGACTTTAGACACTGTACTGGCATAAAGTTTCTCTGATGTTATCTCTTCAGCTTGTTCAGTATAAGACTGGCTTCTTCAGCTTGTTCAGTATAAGACTGGCTTCTTCAGCTTGTTCAGTATAAGACTGGCTTCTTCAGCTTGTTCAGTATAAGACTGGCTTCTTCAGCTTGTTCAGTATAAGACTGGCTTCTTTAGCAAATTCAATCGTAAATTCTTGAATGGCTGGATTTTGTGACAACAAATTTTATTTTTGGGGTGACATAGTCAGTCACACACCGACCCCTCATAGTTGCCCTTTATGACATCAGTGGTAGGTTACAGTGCTACAATTTTGCTTCCCAGACTTTTTAGCAAGTCAGGAGCAAAGCAGATAAAAGTAAAACCCAGATCAAGGCAGCCATGACCTTTTTCAGTCCCAAAGTGTCATGGCTGATGCCTGATTGAAGCAATAATAATAATGACAACAAAAGCATGGGTATACTGCATCCACAGGGTCTAAATACACAGCACATTATGGGTAAATGGTGTTATTGGATTGCTTCAGTTTGCCTGACTGAACTTAAGATATACAAAGACACAAAACATGCTGACCGGTGCACATGGGTAATGTTCAGTACATATGGTGCAGTGTTTGGGACTAAAAGAGCAAAACCTGTTGGAACACTTCCCATCTGAAAGACAATCTGAAAGACCCAATCAACCTCCTCAAATGAAAGAAAAAGACCAGTGTATTTAGTTAGACTATGAAACTGAACAAGCAGACTCTGCAGCCAAATGTGCAGAACATTCAAGACATACGACTTAAAACTTTGCCCATGTGGTAAGGCACCACGGAATAATGAATATGTGCTCTCTACATGCAGGAGAAAGCTCCCAGGTCTGGTCAGTTTGCATTCCAGTTTAAGCCAAGCTCTATTAATAAATAGGTCAGTGGAGGTCAGGTTTCACACCACAGCCTTCACAGAACCCTGTGGCTTCATCATCTGGAAACCACTGACAGGGAGAAAGAAAACAATGTAGAAGTTTCCCTTAAGGACCCTAGTCACACACAGCTGGGACGTTGTTGCTTTCTTCAGATTTTAAAATATTAATACAGTATATTTTAATATTGTAAATACTTTAGTGTTGACATTTTCCCACGGCACCTGCCACTTGCAAATGCTAAGGAAACTTCAACATGTGCTGAATGTGCATACATCCAATTTTTTCATTCACAAAACAGTAAACTGGGTACATGTGAATCTCATAAGTAAATCTTCCTAGCTTGGTTCCACAATGAACAAGCAAGCACCTGGCATTTTTCAATTCTGAGAAGAACACTGTACTTCAAAGTTTCTCTGCACCCAAGAAAAGAAATAAAAAATTACAAATATTAAAAAAAAAAAAAAAAAACTTAAAAGTGTAATTTCACCTGAGCTGTTTTGACATCTCCCAAAAGCTTCTTAAACTTGTCATCGGCATTTGCCAAAAAATCCTTAAGGATTAATGGATAATCACGGGAGTCCTTTCGCAATTGGGACTCTCGTTTGGTCAGCTCCATTCCACGCTCAAGCTCGTGAATGTCTGTGCTTATATTCTCCATGGAAACTGAAACAATGATACACAAATACAGCATCTGGGGAAAGATGCAAGGGTAACAGAGAAACCTGCAGAATAATGGCACATTGCACCACAACAAAACTATACTGTGAATTCACATACAGTGAACAAGCAAACAAGCTGTTCCATCAGGCCTATGATACTGTGCGCCTCAAACTGACACCCATGTCTGCAAGTTCCATCTACCCTAGTCTTTACTGTTAATTAGAAATCATTTAAAATAACGCATAGAAAAATTCTAAAGGGATGCTCCATCTTCATCAGCATATGATACAATGGTAAAGCCATCGTTACTTCATTAACACGGTGGATTTTATAACTCTGAATTCATTTCTTAGAGAAATTTCTGTCATAACCACTTAAAAATAACTGTGTGATATACAGCTGAACAGGGTTTCAAGGATCTGTACCTGACTGACTCTCATTCCTGAGATATTAATCCTACCGGATGCAATCCTGAAGGGTAAAAACTAAATTTAACCCCCAAAAAAGTTTTAAATTAAAAATATTTAGACTATTTATATTACTGATATTATGTTTTCAACGCGCAGTCACATATACAGCAACATTTTCAAAAACATCCAAAGTAAGAAAGAAATGATGCCATAATCTCATCTGGGTGACCTAGGCTAAGATCTTTGGTTAAGGTTAGTTGCGTAACCTTTACAGGATGTTGTAGAACCAATCCCAACAGCCCCTGGCTGTTGTGTGGTTTCTATAGGCAAATTTACATCCAGTAGTTTGCCACTGCTTTCTGGATGGTCGTCACCCTGATACCACTGTCGAAACTAATGCAAGGCGCATGGCCCTCAGTTGGGATCGAACCTCGGCATTACGAAGCGTTCGCATCGACTTAGCCACAGAGCCGACGAGATCTTGGGTAATGCGATGGAAAGTTTAACAACAGCAGGTCGTATAAATGTGGGTGGGTGGAGGGGGGGTTACAGAGCCAACATACCCACTGCTGCCTTGTCTAAAAACCGTAACTCTGAATCAAAGTTCAGGAGATCCGGGAATTTATCGTGCACAGTCATTGCCAGGAAATGCATCAATGTTGTTTTCTTGTCGCCAGACTTTGTGTCCACCAGCTGAAAGTGTAAAATGGAACACAACATATTTCAAAAGTCATGATAAACTCATTCTAATTTGAGGAAATGCAGGAGAATGAACATTCAGTCACAGAAATATAAAACAATCTGACTTTACTTGCAGTCATGTCTTTTGGAGATAAGAATGGCATAGAATGAGCATCTATTCACATGATGATAGAGGTAGATTTACAATATTTTATGTTCATGATTTTACTTTTCTATACTTGTGCTATAGATAATAACAATGCATTCGACAGAGTGAACATAATTATCCAAATGTCAGATGGAAATGAAATGAAAATTTGTTGTGTTTCCTTGTGATTTAACTTAGCAATTTTACATTCAGAGGTTTGCCAATGCTATCTGAATAGTCTGCTCTCTACACCACTGTTGAAACCAATGCAAGGCAGGCATTGACCCCAGCAACACAGAATTTATGAAGGAGGAAATGCAACTGTTCCTGACTAGAAAGACTTCAGTAGCATATTTTTAAAAAAAACTATATCCATCATGTAGCAGGTCCTTTGCAGAACGTTGCTCTCATCATGGTCTGCCTGAAAGAAACACGTTCTCTCGCCAGTTCTCCCACCTCATGTACTTTCATACTCAAGGAGTCACATATATCCTGTGCCCATCTTCATGTCGGTCGGCCCCTGCCCCTTCTTCCTGGTACCATTTCTTCTGCTATATTTTTTTCCAATCCGTCATGGCACTTGATATATTTCAGCTTCCGAGACAGGATGCTGTTTATTAGCCAATCTTTCTTGATGTTCAGATCTTTCAAGATGTCATTATTTCTCCTCTTCTTTGTCCAAGATATTCTGAGAATCTTTCTATAGCATTTCAGCTCAAAAGCCCCTATTCTCTTTCTTAAGGACTGAGAGATAGTCCACGACTCACATCCGTATGTAGCCACAGGGAAGATGCATGCTCTCAAAATTAAAATTTTGATCTCCTTGCTGGTGCTTAACCATAGACTTTTCAGGCTGTTCAATCTTTGCATTGCTATGGATGCTATTGCTATGGATATATACTGGAGCCAATAATGAGCTAAAACAATGGAAAATGTAAGAGGGAAAGTTTCCAACATCCAGGCGAGATGCCAGAGAAGAGCTATCAATGCAAGCAGAAGAGACATACTAAAGAATGATGACATAAGAGAAATGGTAGCATTGTAGCCACATAATAAGATAGTTCGGTCATTTAATGTGAATGGAATCTGCACTGCAAAACTACCCTACATGCCAACAACTGTGGGACACAACCTGAGGAAGACCAAGGAAAAAACGGCTCCTATTTGGCAGTGCAACCAACCATCTTTGCTGCCTGAATGTACCATCTTTAGAACGATGTAGGGTTGTGAGCCTGAAGATTTAAGGGCTCACTGCTAGTGCAGTCACTACGAACTTTAAAAGCAAAGGAGCCTTTTCATTCTAGACCTACATTTTATTAGACCAATCACCATTTGATGAGTGATGTGGTTAGCATCATGCCGACCACCTTTACTTCCCAGGAGTTTACATGGTACCCACTTAAAGCTGGGTTGACCTGGGAGTCAAGATACCCTTTGTTAATAAAATATCTGCCTTAATGTGGATTTTAGCCCATGACCTTCAGATCTGCAGGCGAGCATCTAACCGCTACACCATGGCCTAGGGCCCCCATGAACTGTGCAGGTTAGGATTTTCATTGCTGCCCCTGACAGGAAATATCCCTATCCTTTACGAGGGACTGAACCCGAGTCTTCTGCATAAGAGCCTAGAGCACTACCCATTCAGCCAGCCACTCTAGTAGAAAACACATCAAGCAATAGCAAAAAGTCTGCAGCTGGCACAATGTTTCCAGCTAAGATCTAAACCAGCACTGGGAATAAAACAGTTCTGCTGGTGTGACCTCGTACAGACAAGACCAAACCACTGAAATGGCTTTCAGACATTCTTCTTCACTTCCTCTTTTACCGCTTCAGGTGTCAAGGGAGATCTAAGGTTCTGCTTCTAGCTCTGCTGCCCGCCTCAACGACAGACACATCGTGCTAAGGTAGAGTTTCTCTGATATCTTTTCATCTTGTTTCTGGTCTACCCGTGCTCTACGTCCTTCTTCTCTTTTGGTGTATGCCTTGTATTGTCGGCGTCTGTGGCTTAGGCGTTGCAAACGTGCTTTGTAATGCCGGGGTGTCAGGTTCGATCCCTGCTGCGGGCCTTGTGCTGGTTTCGACAGTGGTATCGAGAAGCCGACTGTTCAAAAAGCATGGCAAACTACTTGACGTAAATTTGTCTCACAACAGCCAAAAAATGCCGGGGTTGGTTCTGCAACGTACTGTAAAGGATACGCAACAGTTCTTGTATGGTATGGACTTCTGGACACTAGAATGACATAATTACTGCCAAAGCTAACCATAAGGGGAAGTTCATTATCTAAATATAACAATAATGCAAACAGACTGCAATAATGCAAACAGACTGCAATAATGCAAACAGACTGCAATAATGCAAACAGACTGAAATAATGCAAACAGACTGCAATAATGCAAACAGACTGCAATAATGCAAACAGACTGAAATAATGCAAACAGACTGCAATAATGCAAACAGACTGATCTCTTCCTTGCTTACCATATCCAGAGACTGCAACTTGAAACCATACACAGCTCCCCTCTTGTTACTGTTCATGTAATTACCCAAGGCAAGGATAATCTGTCGAACAAATGTCAACAAATTCATTTATACAGACCTCGATTACTAAATAAACAGAAAAACTGGCTGCAAAAAAAAAATTTTTAAAATGCCAGGGGCAGATGAAATGAGATTTAAAGAAAAAAAGTTCATCCAAAATTCTGACAGGTGTAAGAGGAAATCAACAAAATGACAGACCTCGACCAAACTGCAAGTCAAAGACAAGATCATTAGTTTTATCAAATCCCACAATCCTGGTCTACAGAGTCTCCACACAAAATTCCACAGTAAAAATGTTATGTCTCCCGGAGACACAGCGAGCTTTTATATTTTCAGACAGTTCTTACAATGCCAAACAGTTTGAAAGCAGGAATCAACTAAACTGACAAATACTTGCGAGCAGAGTATCGTCTGTTAACCCACTGACTACCAAGCACATTAACCCTTGCATTTCCCCAGATACCACGTATTTTAGTGTGTACTAAAAATGTCATAGCTTCACAACTATTTGATATAATCTTACAATATTTTGTATTTTTGCACCAAACTGAATGAAGAACAAATTTCAAGAAAAAAAAGTTGTTTATTTTGTTTTGCATCATTATCATGTGGCTGTAGATTAGTGCAAAACAAGCAACCGAAAAATCTTTTATCTGACAACAATAAAGACTGATAGTGATGATTTTTTTTTCAAAAATATTCAACAAACATATATTACATTTTGTATTTTTGCACAAAACTGAACCGAGAACAATGTGAAGACAAAAAATGGGGTTTACTTTGTCTGCCATAATCATCATCATCATGTGGCTGTAGATTGTTGCAAAAAAGGCAACTGAAAAATCCTTTATCTGACAATAATTCAGACTCCCAAAAAATGTCACAGCTTCACAACTGTTCAATATCACTTATCCTATCTGATTTTGTTTGCACCAAATTAAATAGATAACAAATATCAAGACATATGTAGATTTACTGTTTTATATCATCATCATGTGGCTGTAGATATGGTGCTGAAAAGGCAACAGACAAATCTGTTATCTGACAGCAATATATAGAAAACGCCCCCGTGACGTGATGGTGGCAGCAAATGATGAGTGGATAGATGGATATAGACTCCTGTAGTCTGAAATAGACTGCTTTTTCACAACACATGTGACGCAACAGTACAAGAAACCATGTTACTTCATTTGGGGTTGTGTGTTTCCAGTTCTTGGGAAAACAGGTGTCTGGTTTCGCACCAATCGCCTCAGCATAACGGTTTGTTTCTTTAGCAAACACAGCCAGAATTTCTTTACTGAAGAAAATATTCAGTGGTTCATTTGTTCCTGCTGGCAGAAATAAACCAAAGGTGCCAGTAAATGGGGTACTCCAGGAAAGCCTTCTAAATCACAATGCCAGTCATCAACCATTGGGGGGGGGGGGGGAAGAGGAGAGAAGGGGGGGGGCGCGTGGCACATCTTCTCCGGACTCGTTAGATGATGATGATTCTGAATCAAAAGCGGCAATATTTTCGTCATGTGCAGACTCAAGCACAAAATCTTTATAATCTGTGGGCTTTGACTGAATACTCTTACAAGAACTATCAGCATCATAAACTGCGGCACCGGTGCTTGCAGCCGACAACACTGTGACTGTCTTTGTCAGACTTGACTTCGAAGCTTCATGTTGTCGTTTTACAGTCGACGATGTTTTAAATGGCACTTCGTTAAATTTATTATAGTCATAGCCATCAAACTGTTCAGAAGTGTCTTCAAATTCACTTTTTGAAGCAAAATCAAGAAAATCGAATGCATCATTAGAAAAATTAGGAGAGATATGGCCACCACGATGGTTCCGATAATTTGACGCCACGATGAATTTTTCGTCAATGTCTCACCGTCATGGGAGCTAACTAAAAAAATTCGTCAAATATTTACTTCAAGCACTACGAAGTTATTTCCCTTAATTAACCATACAGAAATGTATAAGCTAGAGGTTTCAACTAAATCCATCATAAAAATCGCGATTTTAACATGACGGCTAGCGTCCAAAGCTAAAATCGCAAAGGGTGTGACGTTGGCAGAAGGAAGTAAACGTCGCCTCGTCGCATTACGCGCGATGATGGTAGTCAGTGGGTTAAAACTGAAAAAGAAAGCATTGCAACGCAACCAGTTCTATGCTGAAATGTAACACTATCTGTGAAAATACATTTAACTACTAGTTTTTTGCAAAAGTATAAATAGAACAAAATATAAAGGCATACCTCCATGATTTTCCTAACTTTGTGTGAATTTTTCAGTGACATTGAAGCTGCTATTACGGCATTGACTTGCTGAAATTGTAAATGATATCACAAGTAAAGGATTTCATAGGTATAGCTTTTTAATGTCTCTAATAATTTTATGAGTATAATATAATAAGTATAATATAATAAGTATAATATAATAAGTATAATATAATAAGTATAATTAATATAATAAGAATACAACAGGCTACTATTTCCTTTTATTGTCAAAGTGGACCTTACAGGCTCATCTGACATTCAATCCTTCCAACTACTGATCTTTGATGGGCGTTGTATTTATCATGCCGGTCAACCCCTTCTGGTTGGGCCCATAAAAGATGCATTGTTTATGATACTGGCTGAGTCTGCACAGGTGCAAACATTTTTTACATTTAGATTATATATAGTGTTTTCATAAACTTGTTGTAGTCCAACCTTTGCTGCTATATTTGCTAAATCATCCGTTTTTCTGTGCATGTCATTGTTTTTAATTAGTGGAACAATTTCATCAGCAACATCAACTTTTGTAGATAATATTTTGATTTTTTTTTTTCTTTCTGCATATAAACATCTGCTTTTGTGATCCTCTATTTTGTGAGCTTAAGTAAATACACAGTATATTAAACCAGCCTCCCCCCCCCCATAATGTGCTCATCAGGCCAGTTTGGCCTGCAGGTCATAGTTTGCCCACCCCTGATCTAAGACCAATCACAAACTGACAACTACCACAACCAGACCACTCTCAACATTCTTCCTACCCAGAAAGTTGCAAAACATCACAGGCCACCAGCCATGACAACTCTTCATCCATGACAACAACACAAAACATGAAACTGGACAAGCAAGACTTACAGGCTGAAGCTGATGAATGTTGTCATAGAAATTCCCAATAAAACTCATGATCTGAAGCTTAGGAGTCAGTCTTTCCACCTTCACCATCTGAAGAACCAACAGCAACTCATGATAAAACAAAAAACAAATAGCAAAAAAAACACGAAATTACCTTAATTATTCAGCACAAAACTTAAATTTAAAAAAGAAGACAGCGAAAGAAACTTGGACTGAAACTACTTATTCACTTTAGAAAAAAGCGACAGATTACATGGTATGGTCTTGGTACCAGCTACCATAGAGAACGGTGCTGAAGAAATATAATAAACCCAGAGCAAGATTAGGACCACACTCAAAAATGGAATGATGGCATCAAGAAAAATCTTAGAGAAATGGAGACTAGATTGCACAAAGCATTAGGAAGAGCTAACAGACAAACTTGAAGTCTGCCCTCAACACTGCTGAATTAACCAAAGAAAGAAAACAAGAATAATTCAGCACAAAATATCAACGGAGCACAAGTAATTTCAATATCATTGCCATCATCATTATCGTCGTCATCTCTTTAAGTAGTCAGTGAGAGATTCCTGATTATTCCTTTCTTTAGCTATCTGCCTTATGTAGTGTAAATTCCACATCGGCCTGCCTTTACACTGCTTTAGAACACAGGGTGTGGATTATGCAGCTATGGTAGGGCGGGCAACAGCTAGAACAATTACTAGTGATTCTGGTCTAAAATCATAAAAGAACATGTTTTATTCTTACATCACTTTGTTTATGCAGTTAAAGAGATTGTCTGTTCAGTTCTTATATCATTAGTCAAAGAGACAGTCATGTCGGTACTGTGATTAATGACATGTATACCAAGAAAATGGTCCCAGTTCGATCCCCAGCACTAGCAGGACTGACTTCTAATCAGCAAATCTGGAGATTTTCATAGGCAAAAGAAGGTAGGTCAGTGATCTTGCCGACTTTCTCCACATTATTTCATACTTCATCTAGGAGGAGGATTTTATTCCTTCCTGTTCAGAACCGTTCATAACTGGCTAGATTTTGGAGCTGGCTGATATTATTCCTTCCTGTTCAGAACGGTTCATAACTGACTGGATTTTGTAGCAAGTCTTCTATGAAAAAGGGTTGCCAACCTCCATCTGACCTTTATCAAACACCTCTCACAAGTCCTTAAGGACATCCTCTACAGTGAATTACAGATGGGTAGAAAATGTCGAGGTTGGCATCTAATACAATTTTTTTTTTTAAATTGCAAGAGGAATATAAATGATACAGGTATTGAGATAGATGCCTGAGAAAAGCAGCCAACCTAACCATCCGAGATCAAGTGAATAATGATACTATCAGAAAAATTGTGGGAATGAAACTTTGTACTAGATTCATTGAGAACTAGCAGATCAAGTGGTTTGGCCATCTCGTTAGAATGCAGCAAGATCAAACACCACTCTGTATCCCTGTCTAGACTGATGGACATAGATAGGAGCGCAGCGTGGAGCTGCAAGAAATGAATGTTTCACTAAGGGGACAAGATGTTTCATCAACCAACACAGAACAGGCTTCATCAGTCATTTTACACTTGTGGAGCTTTTGAGGAGGAGATCGGAGCACCTATGAATCTATCCGGAGTGCTGTGATGATAATCCTTTCTAATCACTAATCACTAAGATCAAATACCATCACAAACAATACATCTCAGAAGATCAGCTACAACAGCAAGAGGACGGCCATGGAAAAGATACATCGACAACATTGAAGACACTCTACGCCTTCACGGCATGACAACAGCCAGTGGCAGCCAGTGTGCATTGGATCCTAAATTATTCCTCCCCACGATGCTTAGCGGCTGAAGTGGTTTATGATGATGATGATGAGACTGAGGTAGATTAGTGAAAACAAAATGCCATGAACCATGTTGAGCAGAGAGGGAAAATAAGGGAATGAAAAAAGAGGGAAAAGGGGGGGGGGGGGGGGGGGGGTGGGGGTGAGGGGAAATTACTGCAGATAGAGATTCTGATAAGAAGCCCAATAAATGCATCTGATGGCAACAATCCCCTGCTCCAATTGTGGAAGACTTTTCTCAACGCAGGCAGGTGTTGATAGTCACACACGCCATTGCCTTAGACTGCGATTCCTGTGCCTTCTGATAACACAGTATAACACTGCCATCTGGAAAGATGGAAAGTTGCTAACTAACTAAATACAATGGTACGTCAGAGGGTAACAATTCTCTGCATTCCTTAAAGAACCCAGTGCCACATGAATAATCCAACTTTGTGATTCCTCATAATCACATTCTTCAAAAATTATTGTGATTGCCTTTCACTGTCTTCCACAATTATGGCAAAGGTATATAAAATAAAATTAACAGGAAGAGATAATTATGGAAACCACAGCATAATGGAGAAGATATTACATAGTTTATGCTAGCTGCAAATAACGTTTGGGCCTTGAAAAAACATATTAAACTTAGGTTAAAAATTAATTTACTGAAGCATTATATAACTAATATTTGCATGTTATACTAAAGATGTCCATTCGTAATATGTTCAATATTCGATAAACAATTAGGATAGGACAACCCTTAGTCTCTGTACCTGAAGCATAAATTTGTCCTCATCGGACAACACCGACACAGGCCGTCTGTCTCGCTCAAAAATCTTATAGGCTTTCATCTGAAACACAATTGCAGATATGATGAGTCATTCATAGATCTTTCATCAACAATTGGCATCTATGTCATGAAGAAACTATTCCAGTTGAACATCAAACTGAATACAGTACTCTACATTCTGTGGTCATATCATGAGAAGAAGAAAACTGGAGTACATTATGACAGTGGGAAGTTGGAGGGGAAAAGAGGCAGACGGAGACAAGAGAGAAGATGTTGGGCAGTCTGAGATCATGGTATGGAAGATCATCTGTGTCAGAACTTCAAAGGAAAGTTCTGGTTGTTCATCCACCTCCAGACTTTAGTCCTAATCCAGAACCTTCGTGTTTCATGCTCGTCCATTTTAAAAATCTGGTTTATCTGTATGCAGACTGTTGGTTCCTTGCATCTCAGACAGATGCACTTCAACTTGGAAGTATGCTCCCAATCAGTCGACTCCTACGACATGCCTGTGGGGGAGGCAGGGTTTAATCTTGTTTTCCCCATAATGGGGCTACAAAACCTATATGGAGAGCTTGTGTGAAAAAAACGTTTGTGTCAGAAACAAGTGAAAATATGTGAGACACAAGCTTGTGGACATGACTACCAATGCCAAAGGGCATGGAGGATACGAAGAAGTAAAGACACTCTTACAAAAATCATACAGGCGGAGAAAGTTGGAGCATACAGACTAAATGTAGACAGTGTTACAAGTGAGAGGACAGCATCAAGAGACAAACAAACCTTAGTTTGAAAACAAACAGAACTAAAGTGAGTGACAGAAAGTTCCGAAGATCTATTACAGCCAACCTTTACTGAGAAGACAGACTTGTTTGAAGGGATGACAAGAAGATGGTTTGTCAGAATTTCAAAAAAAAAGTGTCAGACACCAAAAATGTCTCTCACCTCTTGGTCATTTGGTAAGATAGTAAGCATGATATCAACAATGTCCAAGGACAGCTTCTTTATATCCAATCTGTGAAACAGAAATGAGGTTCAATATGAAAATCCTCTAGAAAAATTAAATAACATCATGATCTATAGCAGTATTTCTAAATTGTGGTCCCAGAAACATATCTAAGGGGCCTGTGACGTTTGTTTGTTTAAACTCTTAATTTTAGAACAAATCAGTTTTATGATTCTAAAATTTAGAAATTATAGTAACTTCTTCAGTTTGACCAGCAAAATAGTATGGTTCAGCAGTAGATTTGTGAAAATAAGAAGGAAACCACCAGCCAAGTGTTGTAGCTGGTGCATTTGCCAGCTGATATGGTGATCCTGTGTTCAAACCCTACTGGCTGATGGTGTCTGTCATTTCAGGGTCAACCCAAACTCATCAAATGAGGGCAAGAAATGACCTCATAGGGAGAAAAATATCACAAGCTGAAAACCATAATTATAACTGAGGCCTTCCAGGTAGCAGACTCAAACTGGTTACAATATTTTTTTCCTTGAACAGTAAATGACCATATTAGGTGTTACAAGTCAAGAAAACATGGACCAAGTATTATAAACCCATTACATTCCATGGTGTGAAAAGAGGTCCTTTATTGATCAATCGGTTTGTCCCCTCTGGGCTGTTACCTAAAGGTTTATCATAACATCCTGAGATTTAAAAGTCTCAATCTGGACAGCAGGCTGATAAGGCCAATCACAGTCTCCCTGACGAAGAAGTTATATATTATAATTAGGGCACAGTTAACAGCTACACCAGCCAGGTAAGACCTACAGCTCTATGCAGGTGAGACCTACAGCCCTACGCAGGTAAGACCTACAGCCCTACGCAGGTGAGACCTACAGCCCTACGCAGGTAAGACCTACAGCCCTATGCAGGTGAGACCTACAGCCCTATGTGGGTGAGACCTACAGCCCAATGCAGGTAAGACCTACAGCCCTATGTGGGTGAGACCTACAGCACTATGCAGGTGAGACCTACAGCCCTATGTGGGTGAAACCTACAGCCCAATGCAGGTGAGACCTACAGCCCAATGCAGGTAAGACCTACAGCCCAATGCAGGTGAGACCTACAGCCCTATGCAGGTAAGACCTACAGCCCAATGCAGGTGAGACCTACAGCCCAATGCAGGTGAGACCTACAGCCCAATGCGGGTGAGACCTACAGCTCTATGCAGGTGAGACCTACAGCCCTATGCGGGTGAGACCTACAGCCCTATGCGGGTGAGACCAACAGCTCTATGCGGGTGAGACCTACAGCCCTATGTGGGTAAGACCTACAGCCCAATGCAGGTGAGACCTACAGCCCTATGCAGGTAAGACCTACAGCCCAATGCAGGTGAAACCTACAGCCCTATGTGGGTGAGACCTACAGCTCTATGCAGGTGAGACCTACAGCCCTATGTGGGTGAGACCTACAGCCCTATGCAGGTGAGACCTACACAGCCCTATGTGGGTGAGACCTACAGCTCTATGCAGGTGAGACCTACAGCCCTATGTGGGTAAGACCTACAGCCCTACGCAGGTGTGACGAGCTGGTCTGGACAGCTGTTTTCTGCCCTTTTAAAAGATTGCTTTGTTTAGATAATATTATTACCATAGTTCTAAACATTTTCCTATTGCTTTTAATTAGCATAATAACACTGGATTAATTAAGAAATTTTCTTACCTCTTTCCTAATGCTTCATTGGAGCAAAATTATACTTAAGTAATTTAAAAGTTAAAAGGCGATTGGGTAGTGCAAAGGGGATCTGAAGAGTAACTTCCCCCTTCGTAGGACTCTCCACTTCCATTTTCATTCCAGGCACAATTGGGGGAGTCAAGATTTTGCTCTCCCCAATTGACTTAGTTCAGACTTAAGTGGTAGTCAGTTCTACAGTCTTGTTGTCTGTGTTTGAATTCCCTACCAGGGGTGAGTTTATAATAATTAGTGTAATTTGAGCTATTGATATTATTCCTCTGAATTAATTTTATCTGCTGAATTATGAAATTTGATGCCCCACATGGCTTAAAAACTATGATAAATTTCTTTATCCTCACTAACCACGTTTATGATCTAGTATGTACATGTATGTAAACATATGATCTATTTGATGATTTAATTAATGTTTATTTGCTACTAGAAACGTGCATTGGTATTTTCAATTATTATACTTATATTAATTAAGTGATAATTATGTCCTCATGTAAAATCTCAGCCAGTTCCTGTTTCCAGCTTAGACAATTAAAAATAGGAATGAAGTGTATATCCATTATACCTAATCCCTTCTAAGTTGATTTTTACCTCATGGTGATATTAGCTTGATAAATTACTGTCTTGCTTTAATTTAGATTTAGTCCAGATAATTCTGAGACTAGTTTAAGAGCTTGGAAAGTGAATAACACAGTGAGGCTGAATTTAATATTCACACTGACAGAGAAGAAGGAGTAAAGAGATGTATGGCCCATGCTTGTAATTATTATTATTGTAGATATATTTCCCTATTACTAGGAATACATTTCAGTTCTACAGAAGGTGGCCTTACAATTATAATAATTATATTTCAACCTTTACAACTTCTAAACTCTACTGACTAAGATTAGCACATGTGTGGATTTAGATTTAAACTGGAGTGAGTGTTGTATATTTTATGTTAATACTGTGACAGATGGAAAGCCCATTGTCAACTATGATTGTATTTTGACATTTATCCCAGCACCCAGTATATTGATGGAGATATGTCAATCCCATTTATTTTCAAACAGTGTAAAGCACCTGTTATGAGTTCCTGGTCTTGGTAAACTCACTCCCTGTTTCTCATTCATTGTGATGTGAACCCATGTGGTTAAAATGAGAATATTGTGAAATATGACTGTGTATGTCTGTGTGTATAAGCATGTTAACCCTTCAAAGGAGTACTAGTGTGCAGACATCAGAACAATTTACACTGAGGAAGGTCCTTTCTTTTTGTGTGATGTAAACTCTTGTTCTTGAGAGTATTCATGAAACTGATGTTTCCTAAATATTTCCCCATCAGGATTATGGAACATGTTCTGTAAACATTCCTATTCTATACCAGTAGAATGTGAACACCTGTTACTATCCTACTCCATATATATGTGTGTAGTGTAACAGTTTAAAGACTGGAGGTATTGTTGTCTCCAGTTAGAACCTTCCTGACTGTTTGTATAAGGACTGTTCTATTGTTCTAGTTCCAGATGTAAATCCTAAGCTTAGCTGCAGATGCCGATTGTCTGGACTGGACTGGAAGATTCGGCCTGCCTGATGTGTTTCCGAAGCTTAGTCAGAAGCTGACAACAGAAACCTAAGCTACAGCTAAGTGGACAAAGTTGACCACTAACCTTGAATAACAGGATTTTATATCCACAGCCATTTTGTTTATTATTTTGAAATCCAATTCTGAATAAATGTTAGTTTTAATGTTCCTACAGTTTTATGAAGTTTCATTTTAACTGTAAACATTGTCAGTGAACTTAAGAACATTTAAATATACAATCTTAATTACAGCAGGGAATAAGATGTGGGCAAACCCCAAATCCTCTCATTTAACCAGCAAGGCTGGGGGTAATATAAAGCTTTATTAAGATTTAATGTTTGTAATTCCCTCTGTGAATTGCACATAGTGCATTCGCTAGTAAAAAGCGAAGTTACCCGCCACAGCAGGTAAGACCTACAGCCCTATGCAGGTGAGACCTACAGCCCTATGCAGGTGAGACCAACAGCCCTATGCAGGTGAGACCTACAGCCCTATGCAGGTAAGACCAACAGCCCTATGCAGGTGAGACCTACAGCCCGCTGCAGGTGAGACCTACAGCCCTACGCAGGTAAGACCTACAGCCCTATGCAGGTGAGACCTACAGCCTATGCAGGTGAGACCTACAGCCCTATGCAGGTGAGACCTACAGCCCTATGCAGGTGAGACCTACAGCCCTATGCAGGTGAGACCTACAGCCCTATGCAGGTGAGACCTACAGCCCTATGCAGGTGAGACCTACAGTCCTACGCAGGTAAGACCTACAGCCCTATGCAGGTAAGACCTACAGCCCTACGCAGGTGAAACCTACAGCCCTATGCAGGTGAGACCTACAGCCCTATGCAGGTGAGACCTACAGCACTATGCAGGTAAGACCTACAGTTCTATGCAGGTGAGACCTACAGCCCCATGCAGGTGAGACCTACAGCCCCATGCAGGTGAGACCTACAGCACTATGCAGGTGAGACCTACAGCACTATGCAGGTGAGACCTACAGCACTATGCAGGTAAGACCTACAGCACTATGCAGGTGAGACCTACAGCACTATGCAGGTGAGACCTACAGCACTATGCAGGTGAGACCTACAGCACTATGCAGGTAAGACCTACAGCACTATGCAGTTAAGACCTACCGCCCTATGCAGGTGAGACCTACAGCCCTATGCAGGTAAGACCTACAGCCCCATGCAGGTGAGACCTACAGCCCTATGCAGGTAAGACCTACAGCCTTATGTGGGTGAGACCTACAGCCCTACGCAGGTAAGACCTACAGCCCTATGCAGGTAAGACCTACAGCCCTACGCAGGTAAGACCTACAGCCCTATGCAGGTGAGACCTACAGCCCTATGCAGGTGAGACCTACAGCCCTATGCAAGTGAGACGTACAGAGGATCAGGTCGGAGGTCATAATTTTTTTTTTCTTTTGTTACGTATAATTTTAGGTGCTTGCCTGTTGCAACCGTAGTCCGGTTTCAGTCCAAACAATTGACCTCTGTGGGTCAATGATGGCTCACAGAAAGCAGGTACAGGGTCACTAGCTTCAAACCGAGTCCTGTCCCGACTATCAAGGTGTAAGTCAAACTGGTCATAGTCAAATTTACATTTTCAACACTATTTTCATTTTAATGGGTGGTAAAAATCATATATAAGACGCAAAAATTATATATTAAGTATATAATTAACCTACATTATGTGAACATTACATAATATATGCTCTATTGCATTAGTCCCTGGAACATTTTGATCCTACCAATGAAGTTACCTTTCTTTATTTCCTTTGTGTGTGTGCTCGCAAGCGTGTGTGTGTGCATGTGTGTAGTTGTAAGTGCAGCTGGTCATAAGTCACATAGGTCATAAGTCGAGGAGAAGGTGTACTAGATAATTTCTAGAATTCTGTGAGCAAGAAATGCGACAAGCAATGGAAATGATCAACCACCTTTTTTTTAGGTCTAAAATGTGTAAAGGCTGAACACTTCATGCCCCAACTGCAGCATCAGCCACAGGACTATCATCACCTGCTTTTGAGCAATCTTGCTGCCAATCATCATCATCATCATCATCATCACCACCACCATAAACATCATCACTGTAGGGACTAGGTTGGTGACTGACATATGTTGAATGAGGAGAAAGTAGGTTGAGACAGCTCGAGAAACAAGACAGTGTGTAAGTGAGGAATAAGTGCAAAGTGAGAGAGTTAATTTCACAGAATGCATGAGACCCATAGCGGAAATCTGACTCCTACTGTGAAGACCAAAAACGGGAGCAAATACTTGAACTGTGTTGAAAACATACCGCGGTTGCTTGTGTAATGCTTGAGTGAGAACATTACTGTGAATTTTTACGGAGCAAGTACAACTTTCCGTGAATGGTTAGAATGATCGTATGTCAAGGAATAGAGCAGACTGTGTGTTGTTTCCCCCTAGTATATTTAACGTAGACCTGAACAGACTTGGCAGTTTCGGAACTGGTGAATAAATACACAGAAATTCATGACCGTGTTCTGTGCCTTCTCTGGAGTGATTCTGAGAAAAGCCTGCCTGTCTAGTCTATCCTACTTAATTATTAAATGACTTGATTACCAAGATCTTACTGAAAGGAGTAACCACACAATCATCATCCTATCACCACCATCAAAACACTACTGTGGTATTTTTAATGTCACACAGGGCACGCATTCTATTTCTCCATTACCTTCTGTCCTGTGCCATCCTTTCAATGTCATAGATGAAATCCAGTCCAGCACCTTTGGCCTCTCTCAAAAACATTCATTTTAAGGTTCCTCTTGGATAGTATTTTCTCAGACCGCTTGTTTCCAATTTCAGTGCCTGTTAGATGATTCTCTGCTGACTTCTCAAGATGTGCCCAACACTGCTGCCAACAATACCACCCCTCCCTCGCAAATTAATTGAATCTAAAATTTGGGGGCCTTATACATGAAAAATATTGTACATTTGTGTTTGCTTACCCATTGATTGCTTTCACAATGTCATCATTGGTGAGCTCAATTTTCCGTCGTGTAATCGCTGCATACAAAGTGACAAATAAACTGTATCAATTACATTCACAAAATTAGTTTCGAGAAATGATAAAATTTCTATAAAGTGTGACCACAAACACACACAAGCATAAAACCGCAAACAAATGAGGGGAGACGAGAGAGAAATAGAAAAGACAGAAGATGAAGAGCAAAAGAGGAAAGGAAAAGAGAGCCAGATAGAACGAGAGGTGGATAAGACAGAAATTAAATGAAAACAATGAATAAATTATAATATTCATATAAAAAATTACATATTAAAAAGCAAACAATTATAAACATAAAATAATGTAGACATAATAATCTCTATAATATAAGAGCATAAATGCACAGGTACACGTGGTTAAAGCAACAGACTCAATCAGAGAGGAATATGCATTAAAATCTTGTTAACAAATTCCTAGACACTAAAATGATAGGCACAGATAGTGACAGCAACAAACTCAATGAGAGAGGGATATACATTAAAATCTTGTTAACACAAATTCCTAACAACAGAAAAATCAAAAGTTCCTGTTAAAAAGATCTGTGCTAACTGGGAACTAACATTTTTACATCTCTAATGTGACAAAAATGTTGTTCGTGTTATTAATGAAGTGTTCAGATATTTTTAAAGGAAACAAACAGAAATAAAAAGGGAATAGAAGAAACAATAGGCAAAGACAACACTTAAAAAGACAGAGAATGACAAACCAAATCTGTGACAGTAAGAGAGACCGATACTGGAAAGAAAAACAAAAAACAGGCAGAGGTCATTACATACTATATAATGTATAATAAGAATCACAAAAACATGAACAACTAGTTACTGTCATCAACCTGCAGGTCACAAAATTAAAAAAGGAGTGAGGCTGAGATCAGACATCAGAGATCAGACATGTGACATCAGTTGAACTTCCAGGAAGACCAACACATAAAACACAGCAGGAGATAGAATCACAAACAATGATGAGGACCCACAACAGGATGACTGTGAACAGATAGTAGCAAGAGAACACTGTGAAATCAGAGGCAGTGAGGATGTCAGAGACAGGGAGATATGACTGGGTAACCTGACACAGTGGCCAGTAAGGCATTCAGGGGTCAAACTTGTCTAGAATAGGGAAGATATGTTGTTAATGAGCTAAGAACTCAGGACATTCCCATAAGTGCTCTGTCCTCATCTTCAGCAGCCAGCTAAGAGTTCCATTTTCAATGGTGCTAGTAGCAGTTTGATTATATTTCCATCTTGCCTTTCCTCTGAGTGTAGAGTGCTAATGAGATCCCCAGACCATAATGATCTATTTGTGTCTCCTCACTTGCTTACAAACAGAACATGGAAGACACATGGTTGTGAAGGGATAGTCACCTGGGCTGTCAAGCTGCTACATAATAGTGAGACTTGGCTCGCACATGATGATGATGATAATACCTGACTGGCATAAGATAATGATGATGATGTGACTTAGCTCGCACATGATGATGATGATACTTGGTTTGCTCAGACAATGATGATGATGTTACTTGAGACAGCTAGAGCTCCAGATACCAATAAAAAAATAAAAAAAATGCAGTAAGAAGCCAAAAACGTTGCTACTGACAACTAAACCTTACCCACATTACGCAGTCTGTTTGGTTCTAATAGTGAGACTGACTCCTGTTTTTTGTTCTTTTTGAGCATTTTTGGTGTGCCGTCTCCACCAGCCATCAGTGCTCCAGCTGGACCCAGCCGGAAGATGTCTTCAAATTCACTGAAGTCTATAACCTGGTCAAAAGACAGCAAATGTTACCCACTGGCCGATGGTGACAATTTAATTACAGAAAAGTAATGAACAAGCAAACAAAGAAAACAAAAAACTTCAATTTTAAAGTGTTGAGAACTGAGCATGCCGGCCAATCTGACCTTCTAATCTGTGCCCTTTCACACATCATTTCGTTCATACATCTGTTAACAAGTAATAGCAAACATAAACTAACAGCAGCTAAATATTTCATGCAAGCATTGGAATGTGCTCAAATTACACCTGCATTTCTAACCGCAGTAAATAATAGTAATTTTAATAAGGAAGAGAGGTTGATGGGGAGGGTAAAGAGAGTGTTGTTGACATACTTTTGTAGGATGGCTGTTACTCACAATACTGTTTCCTCTTCTCTCTCTTTCTTCCCTCTAATGAGGTTCCTCTCCACCCCGATCCCCCGTTTATTCTTCATTTCCTCTTCTTTATACTTTTCGACCTTCCTTTCCTCCTCTCTCCTTTTCGCATACTTACTCTTTTATTTTCCCTCCTTGTGCTTTTCTCCCTTTCCTCTTATCTGCTACTTTTCTTCCTTCCTCTTCTCACTACCTTAATCTTCTTTCCCCTTCATATGTCTATTCCCTTTTCTCTCTGCCTCAATCTCCCCTTCACCATCCCTTTCGTTCTCTCTCTCCATGAATCCCTTCCTCTCTTCTTTTATCTGTTACTCTTTTTCTCAACTTTCTCTCTTCCCCCTCTCTGTTTAACCCATTTTTCTTCTGTTCTCTTCCCCTCCTGCTCTCACCTACTTTAACCTTTCCTTCTCCTTTTCTTTTTCCATCCCACATTCATGTATACACATATTTCATCCACTGATTGTATCACTCTGCTTTTCTCCCTCTATCCCCCCACATTCATATATACACACTTACTGTATACAACTTTTCATCATCTAAATCTGAGAAGATAGTTCCCTTGAGCTGCTGGGGTTTCAAAGGTGTCCAGTTGAGAATGGGCAGTCGATATTTGGTCTGAATTTTCTTTTTTATAGTCATAGCTGTGAGGACACAAAGAATGAGCTTTTAGTATGCTGAAACAGAATTCTCTCAACTATCACAATCAACTTGTATATTATCATCACTGTCTCCATACCTCTTTAAATTTTTTTTAAAATACATCTGCAGAACTACTGTCTTCTTCTACTTCTTTTTTTTTTCTTTTCTTCTTCTTCTGCATTCACCCTTAAAATGTTGGTTGGCATGTTGTGTTGCAGTTTACAGCTAGGCTGTATCTTCATCGTTTGGCTCAACACATCTTATGTCAGCAAACTTCTGTCTGTTAGGGCCTATTTCCTCTTCCCCCCCCCCCACACCCACCCCCCCTCCCCCCCCAAAAAAAAAGACTGAGCCCCAAAACCCAAACAGGCATGGAATGGCTGTAAGCTGTAACTCTGAAAAAAAGTTCAACAAACTGATGTTCAGCAGTTCCATGATGGATGAAAGAAAGAGCAGTTCTCATCAACTGTGATGGACGAACAACAAAACTTGGCTGAGTTCCAAAGAGGGCCTTGGGAGTCAATCTTTCAGTCTGCATCCTAGGAATCATTATCAACCCATGTGTAGAATCATGGTCATTCAAGTGTGGAATCATATCAACCCATGTGTGGAATCATGGCAACTAATGTGTGAGATCACAACAAGATGTGTGGAATCATGGTCATTTAAGTGTGGAATCATATCAACCCATGTGTGGAATCATGGCAACTAATGTGTGGGATCACAGCAAGATGTGTGGAATCATGGTCACTCAAGTGTGGAATCATATCAACCCATGTGTGGAATCATGGCAACTAATGTGTGGGATCACAACAAGATGTGTGGAATCATGGTCACTCAAGTGTGGAATCATATCAGCCCATGTGTGGAATCATGGCAACTAATGTGTGGGATCACAACAAGATGTGTGGAATCATGGTCATTCAAGTGTGGAATCATATCAACCCATGTGTGGAATCATGGCAACTAATGTGTGGGATCACAGCAAGATGTGTGGAATCATGGTCACTCAAGTGTGGAATCATGGTCACTCAAGTGTGGAATCATATCAATCCATGTATGGAATTACGACAACATGTGTGGAATTAGGACGTGTGGAATTATGAAAACATGTGGAAATATGGCAAATCCATGTGTGAAATTATTAAAATGTGTGGAATTATGGCAATCCATGTGCAGAATTATGATAATACGTGTGGAATTATGGCAAATTTATATGTGGAATTATGAAAATGTATGGAATTATGGCAATTCATGTGTGGAATTATGACAACATGTGTGGAATTATGACAACATGTGTGGAATTATGGCAAATCCATGGTGGAATTAAGAAAAAGTGCAGAATTATGGCAATCCATGTGACAATATGTGTGGAATTATGGCAAATTCATGTGTGGTATTATGAAAACATGGAATTATGCCAATCCATATATGGAATTAAGAAAACGTGCAGAATTATGGCAATCCATGTGACAATATGTGTGGAATTATGGCAAAATCATGTGTGGTATTATGAAAACGTGGAATTATGGCAATCCATGTGTGGAATTATGACAACATGTGTGAAATCAAAAACAGATATGCTTACCATCTATAGGAGATAACACTGAGCCAGGTGGGGGAGGAGGTGGTGGAGCTCCTGGTGCATTTGGTGGTGGAGGTGGTGGTGGAGGTGGTGGAGGAGGGGCTGTTGCAAACATGGGAGACAAGGCTGGGGTTCTGGCAGGGGAAGATTCCCCAGAGCCTTCAACAGACACTGAAACAAATACAATAATAGTGAGAAACAAATGGAAATTGTTTGTTTTTTTTTACATTTAAATTTGCTGCTTTAACTCAGTATAGTCAAATAAGTAATGAAGATTTATTGTTATTGTCTTTTTCTTGTTCTCATTCAGTTACTTCAAACAGGGGAAAAAGTTCACATAAACTATTAAATAATTTTTCTTTCTTTGTGTCTTTTATCTTCATGCTGAAAATGATGGCAGTTTTCCTGTGTCCATTTAAAGACAAGCTGTGATATCAAACACTTCCTGCTGGCACAACAACTTTAGTATAGAATTCCCAGAACCTGGCTTGCCTTCAGAAACTCCTGTGTGAACAATTAGTGTTTGAAAATGTCAAATGCTTTCTTCTGCTTCCTCTTCTGTTGTCTCTTGTATGAACCTAATTTGTCTTTTGTAATTTACTCAGTGATCCGTAAATTTTGGCTTTCACTGGTGGGTTTTTTTTGGCAAGAAGTTTTGCTGCCAATGTCAATTTGTGACCCTTTGGAAATAATGTTTGTTCATTCATTGATTCTTCAATTTCCCTTCACATGTTTAGCCCTTCCTTCCTTTTTATATAATGTTTACTAGTGGAAATTTGAAATGGTTATTTACTGGTAACAATTTGAAATAGATGTTTACTAGTATCAATTTGAAATGGATGTTAGGTAATAACAATTTAAAATGGATGTTTACTAGTAACAATTTGAAATGGAGGTTTACTAGTAACAATTTGAAATGGAGGTTTACTAGTAACAATTTGAAATGAATGTTTACTAGTAACAATTTGGAATGGTTGTACTCACCAGGAAGAGACTTTAATGTCTCTAGTTCTAACAATTTGGCATCTAGCATACTCAGTCGCTGGCGTGACTCTTCGTCCCGTTCCATCATTGTCTTTCTCAACATAGACATCTCCAAATCCTGCCTGGATGTCAGCTCCTGTAGAAGGATCAGACCACCATTAACCTTAGTGACAGCAATTACACCAACTTCACAATTTTAGGCTACTCTATAAACTCACTCCACTAACATGGTGAACACTGCAACAGCTGGAAAAATCAATGGAAGAAGCAGGAGAGGCAGACCAATATAGACTATGCTTGATGGCCTGAAGGGAGGGTATGATAGAGTATCATCAGTGGGACTGATACAAAATACCAAGGACTGAGATCTGTGAAGAGACATGAGGGCAGAAAAAAATGATGATGAACACGGTTTTACTTCTAGAGTAAAAGAATTTAGCTTAACAATACAGACTACTGAAAGATTCAAACTGCTGTTTATAATTAATGTATGATATTTTCCCAATAAAACAAACAAAAGACCAGCTCTGCTGGATACAGCTGACCAACAATCAAATATTAGTTTCTCACTGAATAATTTTGGTCAATTTAAAATGGTTTGGGCAAAATACACTGTCAAGTTATTTTTAGTCTTCAAAACAAAAACGACTAAAAAATTGTAACTGAAAACAAAGAAAACTGTGACAATAAGAGGATTTATCTCTTTATCTCTCTCTCTCTCCATATGCCTTTATATCAGCACCTCTGCCCCCCTTCTCTCTCTCGCTCTCTCTCTCTCTCTCTCTTTCTCTATCTGTGCCCATCTACCTTCACCCCTGCTGGTAGGTAGACAGACATGGAGCCACGCAGTACAAAAGTATAAAATCAACACATGTTGAGCAATCATGTGACAGGTGTAACAACAGACAGCTGTCACTTAGTATATGGTACTCACCCGTAAATCCTCCAGCTCAGCATTTGCTTCCGATAGCTGTTTTTCCAACTCCACTAGAAACATGGAATATAAACAATATATTGAAAAACAGACATTTGTAACATAACATTTACATGTTTGTGATAGCAGGGAGTCACATAGCTTGTTTAACTGCTAAATGTGACTGCAATCTGAGTTAAATCTATACTGGAGTAGGAAGGATCTTTTTGACAGTAATCTGAGTTAAATCTATACTGGAGTAGGAAGGATCTTTTTGACAGTAATCTGAGTTAAATCTATACTGGAGTAGGAAGGATCTTTTTGATAGTAATCTGAGTTAAATCTATACTGGAGTAGGAAGGATCTTTTTGACAGTAATCTGAGTTAAATCTATACTGGAGTAGGAAGGATCTTTTTGACAGTAATCTGAGTTAAATCTATACTGGAGTAGGAAGGATCTTTTTGACAGTAATCTGAGTTAAATCTATACTGGAGTAGGAAGGATCTTTTTGACAGTAATCTGAGTTAAATCTATACTGGAGTAGGAAGGATCTTTTTGACAGTAATCTGAGTTAAATCTATACTGGAGTAGGAAGGATCTTTTTGACAGTAATCTGAGTTAAATCTATACTGGAGTAGGAAGGATCTTTTTGACAGTAATCTGAGTTAAATCTATACTGGAGTAGGAAGGATCTTTTTGACAGTAATCTGAGTTAAATCTATACTGGAGTAGGAAGGATCTTTTTGACAGTAATCTGAGTTAAATCTATACTGGAGTAGGAAGGATCTTTTTGACAGTAATCTGAGTTAGATCTAGTCTACTGGAGTAGGAAGGATCTTTTTGACAGTAATCTGAGTTAAATCTATACTGGAGTAGGAAGGATCTTTTTGACAGTAATCTGAGTTAAATCTATACTGGAGTAGGAAGGATCTTTTTGACAGTAATCTGAGTTAAATCTATACTGGAGTAGGAAGGATCTTTTTGACAGTAATCTGAGTTAAATCTATACTGGAGTAGGAAGGATCTTTTTGACAGTAATCTGAGTTAAATCTATACTGGAGTAGGAAGGATCTTTTTAAACAAACAGTTAAACTCTGAAATTTTTAAAAAGCTAATATTTAAGATCCACACTTTGTTTTTCAAACTGTATATCCTTGTTTTATTTAGTAAGCTTAATAACAATTACTTTAAAAAAAACAGGTGTTCGAAACCGAGCTGTTCCCAGGGTCTCACACAGCCTCAAGGTAATAAATACCAGAGTTAACACTCTGGTGTAAATGGAGGAGCGTCGCTGTAGCTACGGAGTTGCATTCAGACGGCGACAGAGGCGGACAGTTTTTTATCAGCTGTCTGTACTGGTGGCAGAGTACTTATAGTTTATAACCGTGTTCAATAACGCTGGTTCACATCTTCCAACTTTACCTTTTACTTGAAAAAATAATAAAGAAGCAAGCATGCTGTGTGTAAAAATAAATGAGCCTTGAGAAATTACCAAATAAAGATATTCTGGAAATTACAG